CAAACCGTAAAGGAAAAAGTTAGTAAATTGACTGCATTAAAATTAAGAGTACTTCATTAAAAGATGCCTTGCAGAAGGTGACAAGGCATACACAGATGGAGGGCAGATACCTGCACCATGATTGTCAGAATATAAAACAAATGTGCTGTAACAAAATACAAAAAAAAAAAGCTATAAAATAACATAATCAAAATATTTTGGAGCAGAGTGGATCAAAAAACAAAACCCAACCACATGCTGCCTCCAGGAAATGCATCTCAGCTACAAGGACAAATACAGACTTAAAGGGTGGAAATCGATACTCCAAGCAAATAGCAAATGGTATCCAGAGAAAAGCGGGATGTTTATATCAGATGAAGCAGACTTTAGAAAACATAATAATCCTCTAAAATAATATAAACAAAGCAAAATATTAAACATAACCAACCAGTAGGAAAACAATACCTGAGCCCACAGGAGAAACGACGTTACACAGACAGGAAGAACCAGCCTTTCCCTCAAAGCCACAGGGAGCCTTTGAGGCCCACATGACAGCAGTGGTCTAACGGTGACAGGTCAAGTGTCCCAGAAGGGTAAGGAACTGACCCGCCCGCAGGGAAGCACGCGGTGCTGACACTAGTCTGGAGAACCAGCCTGGTGACCCCAGCGTCCGGCCCCATGGGACACTCGGGGCCCAGGCAGCAGGGTCAGGGGTGGTGGCTGTCATGGTGGATGGGCATCAGCACGGGGCCTGTCACAACCCAGCATCCTGTCAGCTCACCAGTCCCGGGAACGCTGGCTGCTTCCGCTCACGGAAACCACGGAAGCAGCTGGACTGGGGAACAGCTCGGAGGTTTAATGGCCCGTAACTAGAGGAAGCGAGGACTGGGTCCACGTTGTCCCAGGTGCTTCTGGGTGGCATGGCACATGGGACAAGCACACGCTTAGGCTGTGGGGGAGGAAGCAGGCAGGACACCTCCAGGACTTGTTTTCCTTCAAACAAGGTCTGAATGAGCAGAGTCTTAAGTGTCTTACGTAAAAGCCAATACACAGTGTCCACAGAGCACAGATATAAAACAAGGAGAAATGTAAAAAATAAAAGAAAACAAGGAAAAATGACATCTTGGTGTCTTGCTAAGGAGCCCAATAATTTTCTGGTTATTAAGAGATGAGTGTCACTAGATTACTTGATGCCTCCCATCGCTAATAAGCAGGAATAGAGCACTTTATTAATGTATACCTAATATAACCTTGAACGTCATACGTAGCAACTGCAGAGTCTAATAAGGGTAAAAGCAACATCAGTGCAGCTCAGGGCTGGACACGAGCAGAGGCGGACCCAGTCCCTCTTCCCGGAGCACAGGCAGACCCTTGTCCCCCACAGGCTTGTACCTTTCCCCTGCGCCTCCTTCAGTTTTGTGGTGATCCACTGCATGGCTCGGGCAGAGATTTTGGTTCCAAAGTTTCTGTCAAATGGGGACGGTGCCCCGCCCTGTTGTGGTAAGAGTTATTAGAAATGTTAGTCATGCAAAATACCTTCCTGTTTATTTTTCAAAATGAAATGGGAATAAAATTACATCACATTTTTAAGAGACTCAAATTTGCAAATAGGGATTTTGGGTTTGGGGGGGNCTGACGAAGGGAGAGGAGTCCTGCGGGGAGAGGAAGAAGTCAGACTCCTCACACCTCCTTGGGTGGGAGCCAGGTGCCCAGGCTCCCCGGCGGCGACGAGGTGGGCAGAGAACACCTCGGGACCGAGGGGAGAGGGCGACACATGGGTAAGTGCCAGGCCACCCTCACTCCACACTCACTCTGAGAGGGGCTGTCACCTGCTCTCGGCACTGAGACGTTCCACAGGGAGCACGGTGCTGAATACATAGCTCACTAACCACAGGAATAGGAAAAGGGGCTTGAACAGAAGGATGGACTTGAGATAAATGCTAGGAAGAAACTATGCTTGACTGTACATACTGTAAGCAGCTAGAACATACTAAGATAAGCATCCTTAGATGAAGTGGGAAAATAAGTAAATCCACAAAGTAGGAAGAAATAAGCAGAAGTTAACGTAGAAAACAAACTGAGAAAATCTAAGTTCTCTGAAAAGTAAAGTTGAAACTCTACATCACTGTTTTTGTCAAACATTGGAAATTAAAGTAATAAACACTCAGATCTGATAAGGTCTAATCAAGAAAACTAAGAGAGGGTGAGATGGTGATATCGGCACAAATCACCTACATCTGGAATGAATGGGACCGGAAATGCTGCAGGCATTAACGAGAGGCCATTATGAAAATTTTCATGCTAAGTGTTTTGAAAATTTCCTAGGAAAAATAACTTAGAAAAATGATTCAAGAAAAAAAAAACACCAGTAGGTGTATAAACAGTAAAGTAATTCAGCAGTCAGCTAGCTCTCTCTGCAAAGAAAACGAGTTTGATGGGAGGTTTCAGGGGGAGTTTTATCAAACTTCCAGAAATGAAAANTTTTTTTTTTATTTTATTTACCAGCACTAGAAACAAACCGATGCCATGGGTTTAAGGAAAAAAAAAAATCTTAGGAAAACATTCTCAAGAACTAGGTCTTGCAAGGAAAATAAAACTTGAGAGCCTACTGAAAAAATTTAGACACCGAATTAAAAAAAAAAAAAAAAGCATCTCTGTTGGATACTGATCTTCCAACTCCTATGTGGTTTCCCAAGTGTGACTTACAAATACCATAACAAGGATGTATTTGATGTTTATTGCCTTTCAATAAAAAATGGCTTAACACAGCACCAATATTGTTTTGGATGTAATTTAACATCCTCAGTCTACAAAGGGGAGAATAATGCTGACAGCCAGGCTGAAAGCATAACAAATGCTAAAGGCCGATTCAGGTCAATGAATAAAATTACAAATATCTGGCTCAGATTCTGTCCTCAAACATCAAAGCAGGGCCAAAAGACCTGGCATTCACCACAAAATGACAGAGGCTAGAAGTAAGTTTGGCTCAGCCAAAAACATCACAAAACTAATTTTAATATTATCTCAATCATAAAACACGGTGACCCACTATGGCCTGAGCTTTAGATGCTCACCGTCATGTAGGGACACGCTGTTGTGGCCGTAGCACAGGAAAAGAGTGGTGCAAATCTTAGGGAGCTGAATCAGAGATGGTCAGACTTTTTTTCATAGTTTTCAATGAGCCAGACCCAGCCCACGTCTCCGGTGTGCTGGTAGATAAAAGCGGGCTGGGGACCCTTGTTAGCGAGCGTCCATGCTACCTGCTTTGCTGGCCACAGACTTACGTCGGTGATGGTGTTCAGGGCAGTGTCGGCACCAATGCTGAAATCAGACCCCGGCACATTGTTGGAGACAGTGGCAGGGACCATAACCATGGGGACACAGAACTCCTCGTGTTTCTCCCGGGCGGCTGACAGTTCCAGCAGTCCCAGGTAGGCCTGCAGGACAAGCGTGTACAGTTGTGGGGTAGGAAGGGGAGGCAGCAGCTGGCACTGACAGACCTCCCAAAAGTCAATGTGGAAAGGTGTTAACATCACTACAGGGATGAGCACCTCCTTAAGAACAAAGGGGCCCATGGGATATTGTCATGTAGATGGAGACTATGTCTCATTGGCAAGGGCATCTCTTATTGGCAAGGGCATCTCTTATTGGCAAGGGCGTGAGTATCCAAGACTTGCATTTTCTTTCTCTAAAACAAAAGGTTAGCATGGGGCTCACCTTGGCTGAATAGATAAAAATAAGGTGGCACAGACATAAAACAATGACCTGGCCACATAACTACCTTCCTCCCTGAAGAGCCCATGGGCTTCAAGTTCAAGAGAGAGAATCATTTCTATTGACTTGAAAGACATCGGAACTCACTGAGCAGATGAACCTCTGCCAAAGAGTCAAGTGTCACTTCCTGCTGGGCGAGTCCTGCCCCCTGCTATGCTGTGTGTCGCAGTGGTCCAGTGGCAGGTGGAGCTTGGCTCTATGACCCCAGTTCCTGAGGAGCCTGGTGGAGCTGGCACAGGCCACCATTGCAGCCTACAGCACCGAGGAGCCAAGGGGTAAGCACAGGTGGGACGTACCTCAAAGCCACCAATGATCAGCAGTGCATTGATGCTGTGGGCGTGCATCTGGGTGGCAATGTCCTCCAGGTACTTCCCGGGCAGTGTCCTAAAACAGGTCAGCACAGACCAGGTCAGAGGCTGCACACAGTGGATGGAGCACCGCCAGCTCCCCGGCCACCTTGTCCCCATCTGCACGGCCCAGCTGTGTAGCACTGAGCACAGAACGGCTACTCCCTCCTCCGTGTGGCTGGCGGAGAGCAGCATGGGGAACCACACACGGCAGGGGTGGCCAGGGATCATGTCTCAGAAGGTGTGTTTTCAAAAGAAAATGGGAAGAGGCTTACGGCTGTCCAAAAAAATCCTATGGCCTCATTAGGAAGGGGAAAAAGTCACAATAACTTGTAAATACTCATAACAAATATCATTTGAACAGAAACTTCCAGTTCTATGCCTTATCCAATCTAAGGTCCTTTAAAGTCACAGCCTTCCATATTTGCTGCTCCCCGTTTCATCACCTATCCCAAACATGCCAACAAGTGGTATCAGACACAGGATAGTTGGCCATGCCCAGTCCCACAAGCCCACCCAACACCCACCCAATTGTTCCCATCATTTCAAGTTCAAGAGAGAGAATCATTTCTACTGACTTAAATGACAAGAGATGAAATGTTTGTACTGTTGGTAGATTTATAAGAAGCCTCAGGGCAAACATACAGGCCTGGGTAGGCAGGGGACACAAATGGGCGTCACATCAAGGACAAGATCCCCCCCAGTGTCTAGAGAGCATCAGCAGGATGTGCTGTCAGTTCACCCAGAACCTGGGGTGTCATTGACAGGCTGCAGAGGCCCGGGAGGTGCACTGGCACATGCCCCACTTCTAACTGGGGCTTTGCCGCCCAGAGAATCATGGGCGCTCAGAGGTCGGACAGCAAGCTGCTGGGGTGAACTGGCCACGTCCCGAGGAACACAGCAGCTGGGGGACACAGGCATCCTGATTTCAAAGCAGAATGGAGGGACAATGAGCTAACACTTGTATGGAATCCATTTACAAGACCTACATACAAATTACATTCCTTCCATATAAAATGTGATATGTAGTGACAACTGATGTTCACTTGCACCCTTGAGATCAAAGATGAAAAGAACTGACTTAATATTAAATAGCAGTGCCTGGTTAAAATAGCCTATCCCCAGCTGTGTGGGGAAACGGAAGCTTTCTGTAATTCAGAAACATGCATTTTTGTGCTGGACTCACTCGGGGCACTTCTCCAGCTGTAGGAACCTGGTCCCCCAACATTGGTGGCACTCAGCTCTGTTCCCAGGGACAGTAAGCCACTAACAACGATTCTGTAATTCTGGTTTACATAGTACAGTCACCACAGCTCAATGACATCATTTATCCTTGTCACCTCAAATAAGATGCAGGATTTCTGCCCAGCACTTGATTCTTCAAATCAATGGACACAAGGGATTTGGGGAGGAAACAGTTCCCAAGTTATCCGCCTCCTGGGGTGGGGCAGGATGTGAAACAGGGCCGCCCTCCTGCGGGATCCCTTTCCAGATTCTGCACCAGCTACTCTCCTCTAGGAGATGGCGCTTTCTTCCTCCTAAGAGCACGCTGGAATCAAGGTGGGAGATTACCGTTTTGTCCCAAGAATGGAGCCACCTTGTCCAGTCCAACCTCCGACATCCGACCAGCCGATTTCTTTGATCTAACATGCAAACAGAATGAGACAGCTGAAGTGAGAAAGCAAGGGAACGAAGTTTTATAAACAGCCCCGATGCCGGCACGTCCCGAGGGCTGTGTGTCTGCAAGGATCTGCGAAGTGTTGGTAGANGGAGCCGAGCCCATGAGGCAAGCATCCTTATTACTTCAGAAGCTTCTATCAATTTCTTAACCTTATTTTGGGGTGGGGAGGGGGTCCCAGTTTCCCTTAAGAATCTGATCAGCTCTGGGCTCACTTCTACAAAAAAATTTCAGGAGATTCAGGGACCCTCTGAAATGAACAATGGGTGAGAAGTTCCTAAGTCACAGGAGTGGACGGCGAGGTGGATGTGGGCAGGCGTGCAGTCAGGAGCCTGGGCCCATGACTCCAACCCATCTCCCACTTTGTCATCTGTGGCATGCGCATAAACCAGAGTGCACCCCAAGATCGTTTCCACATGCTTCTGACTTTGTGCAAATAAATGTCACTTGTCTCTATCTTAAATGGTGGTTAAGGCCCAGTACTGAATGAGGGACTTCATTTGAATAAAGTTTTCATTAACTCATATCACTGTATGAAAGCTGACCGTTTCCCCTAAAATGTCCATCTACCCAAATATCACAAACAACAGAATTCCTAAAGCCAGTGGTATCTGGTAGGACGTCCAAGTGGGAACCGTAACGGAATTCGCATGTTTTTCTGGGGCTGTGTTGAGCCTCCCTACCTGCTGCATGTGGCCCAGTACATTCTTCCTGCAGTCGAACACGCCTTTGCCCTCCTCTGAGTAGAGCTGGTAGATGAAGTCGGTGGTGTAGTTCTCACTGCAGCTCTCGTTCCTGAGACACGGAGAGCACAGGGCTCAGTGCTGCGCCACTGGGGGCCTGGTGGGGCACAGGGCCACCCCTGCCTCATTCCACACCCTGTCTTCTCTATAAATGTCAGCTGCCTCGTTAAAGAAATGACTTGGAAATATCTTTTTAAAAAGACTACAAAGGAAAAGGGAACTTAAAGAAATTACCCTTCAGGCTTCTAAGTGTGTGCGAGTTTTTCACACGAAACAGTTACTCTGCTTCCTTGGCCCAGCATCGTTCAGTGAGGGTCCTGGCGGACACATGGTGGCTGGTTGGGGGTCAGATCGTGACACAGGCTCCTTCCGAGAAGACAGGTCCCCACTGAGGGAAGGCAGGGGGTCACTTACCTGAGCACGAGTCCCCTTTGAATGGTGGTCTTCATCTTCTCTGTCAGGTGCTCCACATTGGACTAGGAGAGAGGGCTCCATTAATCACACGGGAAAGCTCACCGGCGCCGGCTGCATGCCAGGTCCTGCACCACTCTAAGAGCTGAGCGGGGCAGCTCCCCTCCCAGTTTATATTACTGTGGCGAGGACAACAGGCAGTGCCTCAGGTAGTGACAAGTCCAGCGGTGAAGATGACAAACAAGGTCGTGTTGCTGGGCACCCTTGTTTAGTGAGTGGAGCTCAGCTTCCATGGAAAACGCTTTCCAAAATAAATAGGTTTCCCTCTAAAAACGTTAATTCACGTATCCTGTATGCTTGCCCTCTGTGTCCTGATCTATTTTCATGACAGCATTTCCTAACTCAGAGGAAAGTATCTGTCACCTCACTTTATATAGAATCGGATACAGCTGCCTATGGAGCATTTGGGGAAGGGGGCGCTACAGAAACTTACAAGACTGAATTTTGTGCACAAAGTCTCTAAGG